TTTTTATGCCATAACATTAGCAACATTTTTAATAATGCGTTCACAATGTGAGCAAATTAGTAATAAAGATTTCTTTTGAATCTTTTGGGAAAAAGCTTTTGCGAAAAATAGGAACGGAGCAATCGATCCGATCGGCGCGTGATTGTTTATAGGGTGGCGAGAAGTGACTATCGTCGACTCGTCTTTCTCGCCCTCGCCGCATCCGAGTGTCGTCACATATTGACGCCTCCACTTTATTCAATTGCTCATCCTACACAAGACCCTGACAACACTTTGGCCCGGGGCTCAAACACGTTTTTTCGCTTTTGCTCATTTCCGGGCCGAATGCTCGGCATCCTGCGCGATTCCGGACCGGCAAAAGCGCAGTGTCTCGTCTACACGACGGCGACAACGGGCTATTTAGTTCTCGATCACCCCCGGGAGCGAAAACGTTCGAAAAAAAGCAGAATAGATGGACGGGAAAGAGAGAAAGAGCGGTGAGAGGGAGAAAGAAAGTAGATCGATCTACGGAGGGAGGGTCCGCGCCAGCGTGGAGCGGTAATTTTTTCCTCATCAGGCAATGCTCTGGGAATTTCATTGGTAATTAAAAGTCACCAGCCTGTGTGATTGGAATTAATGGTCAAATGGTCAATCTGCCCAGCGGGAAAAAAAAACTCAGCTGTAAAATCGCCTCTGCTCGCCCCAGACTCGATTTGTACTTGATGGCACGTAGCAACGCGTGAGTGTTCCGCGACACTTCGGGCTATGTTGTTTTATTATTTCAAGCCCTTTGCATTTTTAGTGATTTATATAAAAAAAGCCGGGAATTCGTGCCGATACTTCACACGGTGATTTGGTATTATGCTCCGGGATGTTATTTGCATCGGTCGATACAATCCTTTGTCGCGGTTGATGTTTGTCCGCTGTTATTTCATTATTCTATTACCTGCAGATTGAAGTCCTTTACGGACGATTATTAAATTACAATAGCAATGTACCGAAACGATTTATAATGCGAAATTCAATAAAAGATGTTTCAAAGGTAATTGAATCTCATAATGCTGTAAATGCTTCTATCTAATTCTTTAGATTAATAATAATTTTCTTAAATAAACACGTCCTTATTACTTAAAAAACGGACCCTCGAGAACTCTCGTACAGCGATTATTGTAAAGTACCGTTGTCGGCAACGATAAAAGGCTTTCGACGCGCCTATTCGTCTACACGAGAGCCTCGGTGCACGAGGGAAATTCTTTCGCAACGCTTCTCCAAACCCTTGACATTTTCTCGCGGTGGCTCGCATGGTGGTTGTACGAGGGGTCGCTCCGCCGTCTATCTGTCATTACGGGAGATTTGTGCTCGTCCGAACTGAAGTTCGACCTTCTGCGCCGCGTTACGATTATGGAGCTCTCTTTCTCTCTCTACCCCTCATCTCTGCCCCTCGCTTTTCGCGTCCGAACCGAGCGAGGGGTGGCGTAATCGTTGGCGGGCGTATATAACAATCCCGAAGGCATAACCCGATGGTAGGTACGGAGGCATAAACGCTTTGCGAGGCGAGGCCCGGAAATGGTGAAAGTAAAGTAGAGACGATATCGAGGAAACTAGAAAGACGCGCGATCGCGGTGGTCGTAAGTGCCGCTCGGCGAACGCTCGGAACCATATGGAATTGTTTATGAACCATGCAGTTTTATTCTCTTTTCTCCCGCTCCCTGATACTTTTGGTCGCTCTATCTGCGTCGCTTTTCCGGAATTCCGTTGGTGCGTGACGGACGGCTTGACTTGGAGGATAGGATATTTATTCCACGTTAAATGGAAGACTTTCCAGTCGTATAAGCATTACGTTTATTGACGATGAGTGTTAGCTCTATTTTATATATACAGAGTGTCTTAGACTAATTCCGTATCATTTGTTAATAACAAATTCCTGAAGTTATTTAGAAAGAAAAATCTTTATAGCAAAATATCAAAGCTATAATAATTTTTAAATAGATATGTGTTTAAAGTTGATCAAGTTAAATGTGAATTGTTTTATTTTAAGATTATTTTAATATCATCAATTTATTTTATTTTAATATCATTAAGAAATTTTATTTAAAAATAATTAAAGTATACAAGGTATTTCAGACTAATCATATCATCCATTAACAGATTTCTAACGTTATATGATAAGGATATAAAAATCAATATGCGATTTGCCTAAGTGCATGAATTTTTGACAAATTGATTGATCAACTTTAGACATTTACCATTTAAAAACTATTGTATTTTGACATTTTGGTATAAAGATTTTTTCCTCTTCAAATAACCTCAGAAATCTGCTATTAACGAATGATATAGTTGATCTGTAAGTATAAATAGAGAAAAAAATTTAATATTAAAATTGATTTTATTTTAAAAGAAATTTAATTTAACATTTAATTATCAATTATTTTGTTTTGATAATTAGGATATTATGATAAAAGCAATGTGCAAATTTTCCATGTGTTAATATTTATGCAAAAGCATGAAGCGTGATGTGAATCATTTCGAATCTTATTACCATAATTTCGAATACGAAATTTTCTGCCAGAACGATCGGAAAACGCACGACGGTAGCACGATCTGACAGAGATCTCCGGCGGCGTGGAACTTAGTTATAATTTATGAGGGTTTATAACGACTTTGAAGGATGGGCGGCGGCGCCGTAACGAGGTCACTCGACATAATTATATTTGGAAGGGATTTTCCTTCTCTGGTGGAATGGGATGCCAGAAGACGAGAGAAAAGTGGGTAACTCACTTTTCCCGTCGGGATAAAGTGAGTTCGACTTCGAGAGGGAAGTATGCGCGTAATATTGATGGACAGTGACTCCGCTGTTATCGGTCCGACCGGGTAGTTTATCATCCGGGAACGAGCGCATTACGCCTCGATTAATCTTCGATATTTATATTAGGTCTTCATTAAATAAAATATTCTATCGACGCGACAGGAGATGTGTGTGTGTGTGTGTAAGAGAGTGCTACTCGATGTTGCTCTTTTTCGATAAAGTTCATCGTCGAGCAAGGAAGAAGGGGAAACTTTCCATTATCGAATCTGTCATGTTTTCCTAAACTTAGATTTATGTCGTGTTTCTTCGTAATACGGTTTTACTGTAATGAATATTTTATAAATTTTTTACGTTCGCGAAAAATGTATTATTTTGCGTTGGCAAGTAAATCAAATGTAATGGTTATTATAAATGATAAAAGGTGTTGAAATTATCACATAAGCATTAAGAAAATATTTGTAAGAAATAGAGATTTCTTACAAATATATTCATAATAAATTCATATTATTATAATTTACAATTATTTAAAAGAAAAATTTGTTTTTCCACGATTCTATTCAACGTTGCATATCTAAGTTAATCTCGTATCCCGTTATATTTCTTAACGTATTTCTCGTCTGCACGCGATATCGATTCTTTTTCCCGACGGAAATTTCAAGTATGCCATTTCGGAGCACTATGCGCGATAAAATCTGTCGGAACGAAGAAAACGGCAGCCACCCACTCGTACGGAACTTTATTCCGTCGGTCCGCGAGGACGGGGAGCGGGACGCGATAAGCGTTATCAATAAAGTACACATACGCGAAAGTTGGACTCTTGTGAGTCGCGGACGCGTCCCAATTTCCGCGACGGCGACGTCGGTCGTCGCGCTGCTTTTTCGAAAAATGCTTACCGGATTCTGGAAGGCGAATGTATATCCCATTGATATGCAAACTAAGTCTTAGATCGTAAAGTTGGCGTAATATCGCGGGGTCTTTGCGATCTTCTTGTCTCCTTGCTGCCTCGCCCCTCGTTTTTCGTTCAACATCTACGTGGCTACCGGGATCGTTCGGCGCAATTTTATCCCGCATTATCTTGAACGATACGCCAGTTTAAACTTTAACTTGGTCATAATCACGACGTAAAGACGAAATACAAATGCGTTCCTCGAGGCGGCTGTTCGTCGCGCCGGAAAACCGATATGCCGCCGTCGGGGATTGGGAAAGAGTGAGAAAGAGAGCGCATTTTATACGACAGACTTCTCGCGAATCGTTAACGAGGGTACTTAAAGTCAACCTCTGCGTGCGCACTAAATAGGGCTTCAGGTTTTACTCTGTATTTTCGATGAACGTTCAAACGCTATCATTTGGTTTTCATCTCGCGTTGACATTAAACTGTTGAGGGTCTTTACTTTGGAGAAATAAATATATGGAGTTAGGCAGTTATCTTTACTGCTAAATGGATTTTATGCTACCATAAATATAATCATTGCAAAATTTTAAATTGCTATAAAAGCATCTTTTTTAATAATATTTAATAAAAATGTAATTTTCTGTATTTCGGATATTCTAAATAAGTAGTCATTATTAATTAATTGTAAGATAATTTGATTTGGACTCTCTTTAGAAAATTTCTTTGTACCAAATTGTGAAATATGTATTCTTACTTTTTTTGAGTCTTTTCTTGAGTTTTTTTAAATTGCTTTTATTTAATACTCAACATTTTATTGATAATGTAATAAGTAAATATAAATTTTTCCTTAAAAAAATTTATCCATTTTTTCTAAATTTTTTGTTTGATTTGTAGAAATCACATTTATGTTTTTTTTTTAATATAAAATTTAATATCAGAGAACAAACTTATATTTTCTAAATTTCTTGCACAATTTATATTTTTCCAAATTTTTAATGTCTCATATTTTTTATATTTATATCCAATCGCACAATGCACACAAAAATAACAAAACT